TTTGAATGGAGCATGTGACTATTTCATAATCACATTTGCTTGAAAGAATTACACTAAAGATTTCTGCAGTCCAATCTTGTTCAAGTAGGAGGTGGATGGTAACTCGGGTTTAGCGAGCCATTGCCTCCACTGTGCACAGATGGTGGCTAAACCACAGAGCATGTGTTGGATATGTTGGCTCTGATTCGTGTTGTTTCACTGCATAGAGAAGCTTATTAGGGACTCGTAGTTATGCCAGAGTCCACGGTTTCTACACATTTTGAGGCTCTACGGGAGATATTGAACCAAGAGTGAAGAGTAGATCGATACAAATGATCATCACACTTCCTAAAGGGTTTCGTGTAGTTTAAGGGCTTGACTGAGTAGCACTTTCAGAAATAAAGCATATGCATGTGCATTTACTTCTTTATAACCAATTGCCACTCAAGGGCATGCACATATCTATATTTTACTAAAATGTAACAAAAAGGAAGAAAGAATTAAAAATGTGTCAGGGTTAAGGACATCATGTTACTATACAATTTTCAAACTGTGGTCAGCAGTGCAGACACTATTACAATGCATATCATTTATTGTTAAGATTTACAGTATTCTGTATCATTTATTTTATTGTGACACCATACAGCAGGAAGGGGTCTGGGTTGGAACCTTCTGGTTTTGCTGGGATCTTTCTCTGTTGAGTTTGCATGCTCTCCCTATGTCTGTGTCGCTGTCCTCCCACAGTACAAAGGCATACAAGGTTATTTTAATTGGCGACTCTAAATTGCCCATAGGTGTGAATGTAAACATGAATGGTTGTCTGTCTTTATGTATCAGCCCTGTGATAGAGTGGCAACCATTCAGGATGTATCCTGCTTCCCACCCAATGTCAACAATTGGCTCCAGAACCCCCTCCCCCTTTCCACTCATGACCTTCAAAGGATAAGCGGGTCTGGCTAATGGATGAGTGAATGGATTTTACTGTGAAGAGACAAACATGTATGCTGTGCTTCAGCACAACATGAAACAAATTGTGCTTTAGGAAAAGAAATCTATACAGAATGATGATATTTATAGTTAATGTTGCTTTTATGGACTTCATGCTGCTCACTTTTGTTTTAAATGCAAAATGTAGCAAAGCATCTGCCTAGGCATTTGCAGTTGTATGGCTTTTTTTTTTTGTTTGTTTGTTTCCAATGAATAAACCAGAGAAAGGTGACATACTGAATCTGAGAGATCCTTGGAGGCAGTGGTAATTCTGTCCTCTGCAGAAGAAATCAGAATGAGAGTCACATGAATGTTGCAGAGATTAGATACAACAGCGGAAATAGGTATCTAGAAGGATGATCACAGTGAAGCATACAGAAACACTGAAAACACTACTACATCTTTGCAAGATGTTACTAAAGTAAATATTGACCACCATATCTTGCAAGACAACTCAACTGCTCAAATGGAGGTTTTAAATATGTTGACTCTTAGGACAACTTGTACGGTAGCCAATATAGGTCATTTTACAATATAGGTGACTGAGAAGAGCTCTTAATAAGAGGTAATATAAAAGTGATTGCCATATTGTACTCATCATTTCTGAAAACAAAAGTTGAAGGCTGTGCAGGAAATTGCATTGGAAATAAAAGCTTATGCAAATAACTCAAGTTCTAATAGAAAGTGCAGTCCTGACTGACAGCTGAAATTAAACAAAAAATTATTTACTGTAGCATTTTCTATCTTTATCTTAAAGTCTAGCAAAACCCCAACTGTGCATGTTGCTACTTCTTTCATTAACACTGGTGGCAATTAATCAGGGATTGGATATCTTTAATTCACCCTGAGTCAAGCTAATGAGGTTCTGCTTTGGGTTTCTTAACCTCTGGACTCTCTGCTGCTTAAAGTAGTGAGACTGAACAGGTATCTGTGGTGTTGCCATATTCAAGTGTCCATGTAAACTGTCACTATTTAACAAGTGTAGTTGTGTACGTTTTCATTATGACTTTAAAAATTCAAAGCTGCGCTGTAACTGAAGTATTTCCTCTGCTGTGCATATACGGACATTGAATCTAATGTTCATATGTTTGTGAGCTGACGTTTAACAATAACTTGATTAAAATATCTTTCAGTTGTTACAAATCTTTACACTGTAAAATGTTATTTAAAAAGTTCTAATCTTGTGTCCTTGTATTAATTGTTCTTGAATCTCTCGTTATATGCTAAATATGAGCCATGAATTAGTTTTTTTTTTCTATTCTTATAAACTTTAGGCCACTTACTTAGATATATCCAATCAAATCTAGGCTAATTTCAGGTGATTAGCTAACAAATACCCATTATCAAAACAAACACACTCACCAGTAGTTAATGGTTAGTTATAGCAGACCAGTTTCATAGTAGGATGTGTGTCTTCACTGTAGCTTTAACAAGCTTTCATTTGGACAAGTAATTTGTGTTTCTAAAACAAGCAAAATAAGGGGTAAATTCTTGAAAGCATGTTTAAATTAAACTGCACTTTTGTCCAAAGTAGCCATATAAACACATCCTGCTCATCGCTTTCACTTTGTGGTGGATAATTTAGTGTAATGTGTTTTGAATGTGGGAGAAAACAAAAGTACTTGAATGTATTATGCTCATATTTTCTAACGTATGGTATTGATTTTTTTTTCCTCACCCAGCTCAAAACTGCATAGAAGGTTAGATTTTTATGCAGGGGATTATGAATTACAATAAACACTAGAATCATGTAAAGTAGTACTGTAAATGAATAAACAGGCCCCAGTGGTAGTATGATTAAGTACTTTAAAAACTGTAAATCCCTCTTGTTGTTTCTCACAACTTAGACTTTGTTTGTGCTTTTATATTCATTCTGAGATCAGAAACTCAAGCCAGATTCTTCTGGCAGTTGTTGGTTGTTATTGCTATCCAACAACCAATAAGTACAAACCTGCTCCTGTCTGTCTCTTTCTATTATTTCAGAAGAATGTCCACGGTGAACCAGAGTAACAGTTTAAGGAATTTGCTGGTATTATGTCTGTAAATAGAAAAAGGCTAGAAGTGTTAAATTATTCTGTGCTGATGTGTTCTTGCCAAATTCTGCTTTAAACCTGTAAAAGAATAGCAATGAGAACTAAATGAGAAGAGGTAGAATTGTAATAACAATCGAGTCTGGCAATGAAACATGAAAGGACAGAGGCAATATGATCCACAGTGGAATAGAAAATGAAAGGTAAAACAAAAGGACAACAGGAAAATGATGAGTGCTGATGGGAAAGGGTGGAGAGAGAAGAACAAAAAGCAACAGGAAAGAATCACAAAATCTTTCTGAAGGGAAATGGGGGGCATTACAGAAATAAAATGAATGCAAATAAGGAAAATAATCAGGTTCTGAAGTCAACCTATATGAATATGACAGAAAAGAGTGAAATTATGGTGCTTCCAGCCACTCTCCTCACCAGGAAGTCACTTAAGACTAAAGCAGCGGGGATTTGTAGGTCTGAAGATGAACAGAAAACCCATTTTCCCTCATGGCTACATCTGCCATTGTGAATTTATATGGCTGTTGTACTGAAGAGTGGAGGAAAGATGTGATCAAACATGAAGGGGAAAGGAGACTAAGAGACACAGTAGCCAAGAGGAAGAAAGAGATCAACAACAAAAAAAAAAAAAACAAGAACGGTCAGAAGAGGAGGAGCAAAAAATCAGGAGATGGATCAGGAAGGCAAATCTGAAATAAATAAATTAGGGAGACAGAAAAAGTTCATCAAAGGAACTCTTAAACCATCTGTCCTTTAACTTTACTTGTGTATTAGTCTGCAGAATTTAAATATAAGGAGGGCAATGTATGTTCCAGTGACAATCAACAGATGTATTGCAGCAGTGCTGAGGTGAATAAAGACATCACTGAGCTACAGAAAATATTTCTTTCTAGATTTCAGGTGGGTAAAATTGAAGAATATTTTAAACTGAGATTTCAACAGTTTATCTTTTTTCTTTGCAATTTTATATTAGCCATTTTTCAGTGGTGCTGCAGAGCCATACAATGTCACTCCATTATCACTTTGCCGCTAAAATGAAACATAAGCCGCCATATGTTTTTGCTATTCTTCAGAGGGGATTAATGTAGAAGTGTGGGCTAAGGGGAGTCTGCAATACTGCTTTTCTGCAAAGCTGCCATCCTACTGGAGATTAATGAACAAGTTTGTCCGTGTTACTCTCTGTGCCGCCTCTCCCCTCAGCATAGTTTGATTTATGGACACCCAGCAGTGCATGAGTTATAATTTGAAAGGGGTTTGTTTTTTCCTCATGAAAATGGAATTTTAAATGTTGTGATGAATGACCCCTTGCGGTTTTTATTTATTATTCTGTCATTATTTAGTTGGCGTGTGAGTGTGTAGATGTGTTCACTGTGGTCATGCTCCTGTGGCTGAAGTTTGTGCATGCATGCATGCATGCATGTCTATAATTTCATGAAGATCACCAAATCTTTAAATAGGTGCTTGCAAAGGTGCTGAATCTGCTATTTTTGTTTGACAACATGAGTATATCACTCCTTTATTATTATGTCTCACCTACTGGGTGCCATTGTGAAAAATCAAAGAATGATTCATGCGCTCCCTTTTTCCCACCATTCTGTATGTGCATATTGATCAAGTTTATCATCCAGCTACAGCATGTATGGCAGGGTGTTTGATGTTTCTGTGATGGTGTGATATTGAATGAACTATAGAGAAATGCTGTGATGTGTTGAGATACTCCTTGGTGTATTTACAGGACAATAATAACAGCTTGGGGAAGAAAGAAAGGGCAAAACAGGCTGGGTGCATTGGTGTGTGTGTGTGTGTGACACGCTAAAGATAGGAGCCCAGATGCAGCATTGCTACAAGAACTTCATTTCTGCCTGACTGCTGTGTCTTTATGTTGGTGTGAGTTTGTATTGTGCATTGCATTGTTATGTACTATGTAAAATGTCAACATTACCACCTAAGAGTCGACATTCTCTTTCTCTCTTTTCTCTTGCTGTTATCCAGGGAGGCCTCATTGCCCTCCTCCTCTTAATTCTCCTCTTCACCCTTGTTCTGTATACCCGGCACCGTTGGTGCAAGCGTCGCCGCATACCCCAGAAGAGTGCCAGCACCGAGGCCACACACGAGATCCACTACATTCCCTCTGTTCTGCTCGGACCACAGGGCCGGGACAGCTATCGAGGCTCTCGAGCCACGCACCAGCATGGCAGCTCTGTCATCGGTATGCCCATCCGCGAGACCCCCATTCTTGATGATTACGACTGTGATGAGGAAGACCCAGGTGGACATTCACTTAACTCCACACCAAACCAACTCCACAACAAGCTGAATGACGGGAGGCTGCAGGACGACCATGGAGTTAATATTGGCATTGGAGGACACACAGACATCATGTGCAAGGAAGATGAGCTAAAGCATAATTTTGAAAAACGAGGTAAGTTGGTTGTCTAAATACATTTCCCTAGAAAAGCAGTGGTGGGAATTGGAATATCGTATATACAGTACACAACGGAAATTAATCATACAATAGCTTTAAGATTAACGACATGATGCTGACTGTCTCACTATCATGCAACTATGATTAGCATAAAGAAAACAAATGTGAGTTGTCAGAAAATCTGTTGAGCTCAGTGGTAGTTGTCCTGCTTTTGCAAGCATGATTTGTACATCAATGGAAGCTCTGCGTGCCAGCTCCCCAGATGGCCCAGCCTGGGCAGTTTACTTTGGCTTTGGCCAGCCCACCCATGTTCTTGATAGCACAGCATGTACCGGTTACATTTAGTCAAAAATAAGTAGTTTTATATGACTCCCACCAAAACCTTATACTGGCATTGATTAGTACCTTGTATTCTAATGTTTTTAACTATGAGCTCTCCTGCTTTCTGAAACCACACTCTACTCCACTGCAGTCGCCATAGTCATCAGCTATACTTCAATCAGTAATGTACTGAAGTGTCATATAAATTAATGTGTAAATATCAAGTGACTGGGCTCATTGGTCTGGTTGATTACATGCAGAGATGTGTCAGTGGGCGGCCTGGTGCTAAACACAGAAGAAAAGATCTGTCTTAGTAACCAAACTAGTGGCTCTTCAAAACTCTCTGCCATAAAGATTCTCTCTCTCTAAGCATCAG